CTCTATGGTTCCCAACAATAACATGCACTTCAGCTGTGCTGCTGGCAAAGAATACTGTCTACTTCGTGCTGCCAAGAGAACGAACAAACCAGTGTTATGAGATACACAAGCAGAACGCCCCCTAGCAGCTAGGCTTCACGGCTTCAGCTCACTTTGGGCATTTCATACGGAAGGACCTGATGGGGAAGTACATCATGGTTGGTAAATTGGGGGGGGGGAACAACAGAAATGAGGAAAAGTCTCAGTAAGATCAATTGACACAGCATTCAGAGCAGTGGTCGCACAAGATAGTGTAGGGCCAGGCTCCCGTCCTCTCTGGGATGTGAAGATGCTGTGAGCTGGAGCCTGTCTAATGGCAATTCACAACAGCATGTATTTACTATCATTTACTTAATCATGCTGTCACTGGTCAGTAATATGTTCCAAAAGCTGCGTACGGGCTTAATTAAAATTTCATAGCAGGAGGAGAGATGCAAAATGATAAAACCTCAGTGTGCGAGTGTGGAAACTCCATGGAAACGTGTCTACCAAGGGTGGCCTTGCTCATATTCCAGATACAACACTGGTGCCCTAGCGACCTGGCTTCCAGCATCACAGCCACATACAAACCACGCCGACAGACATGCTAACAGATGGTTGGTGACTTGCGTGTTGCCAAGTGATGAAAATCCAAGACCTTCAGTATGGATTACACCTCAACATAACAACTCAGCTCATTGCCTCTGAGATAAAACCGACTCATAACTGACCCTCCTGCAGATTTTTGGAAATTTTAAAATGCACAGGACGAGATTGCCTATTTTTCTCCCAAAGAGGCATTCACTGGTGGATTTGAACTGCCAAAGAGCTGCCTTCTTCAGGTTAGCAGCACAATTCCCTACAGACTACGCCACCAGAATGCACTCAACAGGAAAGAAAACAAGAGTCCTTACAACGGAACCAATAATAACTGAACCCTGATAAACAGAAGATTGAAATTGGTGGTGATTTCCTCTCACTTGGATTTCCTTTTTCTTGGATCCGCAACTGACACCCATGCAAGCAGCAGTCAAGAAAACAGAAGATGCATCGCATTGAGCAAATCTGCTCCTTCCCCCTTTAAGTGCTCAAGAGCACAGATGTCACTTGTAAAGATTATGACGTGTGCCCAGCCCAAGTGATGATGTTTACAGTTGTCTCATAGGCATGAGACAGCTGGACAATGAATAAAGAAGGCTGAAAAAGATTTGATGTCTTTGAATTCTGGTGTTGAAAAAGAAGACTGACTGTACCACGGACTGACAGAAAAAGAAACAAATCTACCTGGGAAGTCCAGCTCCTTAGAAGCAAGGATGGCAAGACTTGAGTAATTAATTAGTATACTTTGGACATGTTTTCAGGAGGGGCCAGTCCTTGAAGAAGGGCATCATGCTTGGCAAAGTAGAGGGTCAGCACAAGAGAAGAAAACCTTCAAGCAGATGGAGTGACAGTGGCCACGAGCACAGCAGTGATTGCGAGGATGGTGCAGGACCAGCGATAGTAGAAAGGTGGATTCTGATGAAAATATGTAAGTGAATGTTCAGATGTTTGGCTGCTGATTGTTAAATAAAGGTAGACTTAGCCCCTGTTTTAATAGAGAAAAGCACTATAGAGCAAGCCTTCTTGGAGGAAGGAGCTGGTGCTTCTTGCAAGGGCTTCAGGGGGACTTGTCCTCTAAGGAACGGAACACAGAGAGGGGAAGAGGGCTTTTTGTGGTGGATTCATTTCCAGCCAGCCTTCCAGCTGCTCTGGCTCATACCCCTAAGACCGGTTGAAACTCGTCCCCAAGACCCCAGCCTCTTCCAAATGCTTCGCTTAAGCTCTGGATTCTTTCAGCACAAGAGTCAACAGGTTTGCAGGCAAACAACCTTACTCCCTTAACAGGACAAAAGGACTGCTTTCAGAGATCAGAAAAGCTCCTTTAGGAATACCAAACCCCACCGCCATGGAGTGGATTTGCCCTCACATGGACAGTGGAGGGCAGGGTATCAAGGCCCTGTAAGGTTTCCAAGGCCGTCATCCTCAGGGAAGCAGACAGGCTCAGCTTTCTCCCTCAGAGCCGTTGATGGGTTCAGATGGCCAACGTCTGACTCAGTCACTGCAGCCAGGGCTCCCTCTGTTGATAATGGGGTGTGTGGTGGTGTGCTGCAATCCCAAAAGCACAGGGTTTGAATCCACCAGCTGCTCCTCGAGAGAAAAATGAGCAGCTTCCTCCCGTGGGATTTAAAGCCTCTGAAAATCCCCCAGAGGGTTGGCTATGGCTTGGTTCTGACTCAGTGGTACTCAGCAACATCCATTGCCTTAGATCTGACAACAAGCCTTGGTGGGAACATGCAAGTAAAGTGAATCTTTGAGGCTCCACCCTTAGGTCGCCTAGGGGTATGGCTTCTAGCTGCCCCAACTGTGCACGTTTGGTTTGCCATTCATCAGTGTCTCCATTATCAACAGCTATGAGACCAACGTGAGAGAGCTCTCAGACTGTAGGCAGACTGTAACAGGTGTATCTTGATGGAGCCAGGGCTAGAGCTCTTGAAATGGGAACCTCAATGCCAGGAAAGAAGAGAAAACAGAGAAAGCAACACACATCCTTCGGGGGCTATTGACTGATAAACTGCTGGGTTAATTGAGGAACTATATCTTACTGTTCTGCAGAGGCTTCTTGTATTTGTGTTGCTGGACTGCATCTGGACTTTGACTGTGATCTATCCTTTGCCTTCCCTGCCCTCCTCAACCTCTTTCCCTAATAAACCCCACAACTGTAAGGGGGAAAAATTGATAAAGTCTGTGTGGTAATTTGCAATGAGTATGAGTCAGACCCAGTAGTTAGTAGAAGTTGGTGCAGAAGCGTGAGGGACCATGCCTGACCTTACAGAAATCAGTTTTATACTGTGGATATTGTTGATGGGGCAGTTCCCTCTTGGGGAGTTAGTAGAGGTCAGACTCAGTGGTCTCCACACTGTCCTTGTTGATACTGCTTCTTTTACAGGGGATCTTATTAAAAAGGAACTATTTCCCTCAAAGAATGAAATTCTTATATTATCTCCCCTCTCCTTAAACTACGGAGCACTGGTGGTTTAGTGCTAAAGAATTGCACTGTCAGTACAAAGGGATACAATTCAAATCCACCTTGAGAGAAAGATAGATGATCTTCTCCCATGCAACACGCTGCCTCGGAAAATCTACTGAGGGTCACTTCCGACTGAGGGAGCGCAGCCACAAGCACCACCCCCTTAAATTAGGAAGGAGAGCACTCCCTTTAACCCATGTGCACTGTAAGTGTTAACTGTTTCAAAACCCATCACTCCTCTAGAGTGGTGGTGCCTATTAATTTTGACTTGGGACAACCCTAAGTGACAGAGTAGAACTGTCCCATCCAGTTCTTCCTGGTTCAGAAATGTACACATACCATTGAACAAAAGACATTCATAGACTTGCTGGATGCAGAGTCAATTCTGACTCAACAGTACACAACAACAACAATTACCTATAGATTAAAGATTTATTTGGGAGGCAGGATTTTACAAAGAGGAGTTTGGCATCAAGACTGGAGGAAGATTTATCAACAAACTTGCTTGCTGAAACTGAGGAGAACCTGAAGTGCTGGCTGTGGAAGGTCAAGGACTGTAGTCTTCAATATGGACTGAAGCTTTACATCAAGAAGGCAAAGATTCTCACCACTGGGCCAAATGGGCAGCACCACAACAGATGGAGAAGAAACTGAGATTGTTAAGAATTTCAGCTTCCTTGGTTCCACAATCAACACCCTTGGCACCAGCAGTCAGGAAATCAAAAGATGAATTGCATTAAAAAAAAGGTTCCTGTTATCAGGGACCTTTCCAGAGTGCTAAAAAGCAACAATGTCAGTCTAGAGACTAAGATGCACCTGATCCAGGCCATGATCTTTGCAATTACTTGCTACACATCAGAGAATTGGACAGTAAAGAAGGATGGGGGGGGGGAAATTATGCCTTTGAGTTGTGGTGCAGGAGAAGAGTATTGAAAATACCATGATCTGCCAAGGGAACAAACAGGTCTGTTCTAGCAAGGGTGAGGCCGGGTTGCTCTTTGGAGACAAGAATTGTAAAGCTCTGTTTCACATACTTTGAGTACGTGGCCAGGAGGGACCAGTCCTTGGAGGAGGACGTCATACTTGGAAGAGTGGAGGGACGGCGCAGGAAAGGATGATCCCAGATGAGATGGATTGATATAGTAACTCGGACAATGGGGTTAGATGTGTCAGAGACAGTGAGACTGGCTCAAGACAGGGCAGGGTTCAGAGCCATTTCTTGTGCATAGGGTCACTATGAGTGATTCAACAAAATATAGTTATGTGACATAAATCAGACATTATCTACCTTTCTTTGGGAGCTCTGGTGGCGTAGTCCATAGGGAGTTGTGCTGCTAAACCAGAGGCAGCACCGTGGGAGAAAGATGGGCAGTCTCCTTCTATGTGATTTACAGCCTCTGAGAACCCACTGGAGGGTGTCAACGGCAATGAGTTTCATGACATTTACCTTCCTTCGTGTGTATAACTTCCTGTGTATTATTAACTTCCGTCGTTTCTAAATGGAATGCAGTAAAATCTATTTTGAGTCCTGGTGGCTTGGCGGTTACAGTGTTTGCCTGCGAATTTGAAGATTGGCTGTTAGAACCCAATAGCTACTTTGCAGGAAAAAGTTGTGCCAGTCTGCTTCTGTAAAAAATTATGTTTTTTATTGTTTTTTAATGGATGCAGTTTTTTAAAAAGAGATCTAGAACATATAATTATATATAATTTTTTTATTTTTAGGTTTTTTATTTTATACTGGTTTTACTCATCTCTCCCTTCGCTCATCAAATTGTGTGACCTTTTGATTGTTTATTTATATTATATATAATTATGTTTATATATATAAATTTATAGGCAGTAGTTAACACTTTTTGCTGGTTATTTTTTTTCTCCCCTTCACACAGAGGGTGGCCCTCAGGTTGCAAAGAACTCAACGGCGAGTGGTGAGGCTAAGATGAGCATAACCAGTGATGAGGTGAACTTTTTGGTGTATCGGTATCTCCAGGAATCAGGTAAGTGGCAAGAAATTATCTTCAGCATGATATGTGCACATGCACAGCCATTGGCTAGAAAGCAAGATATGTGGCTATTTTATCTGGTTATTGTTGAAAAACATAAACAGAAAATACACCTATTCGGCACTTTGTACATACACTATTCCATGATCTTGATTAGACTCAGTTATGCAACCATTCTCGCCCTTCTTTTCCCACTTGTTCCCCCAAACACCTACAATTAACATAATTCACTATCCCCTAAAGTTACTAATATCCGAATTGCTGTTGTCAATTTGAATCCATATAGATAGCTCTTAAAAGAGCACAAGGCAGACTTCTTTACTAATTAAGTGAGATTATCATTTGGTTTAAAGAAGACTTCAAGATCATTTTTAGTTTAGGTTTAAAGATTTTTTTTTAAACTTAACTTTCCGAGATTCACCCGGTTTCCGTGGCTCAAGAAAGCCAGGGATCCATGACAATTTATAATTCTGTTCTGCATTGCTCTCGTTCTTAATAAAATCAAAACTTCAAGCTGGTTCTTCCTGGTTCAGTCATGGCTGATAAAGTAAAAACAGAACTGGCTCAAATTTGTAAAATTTGGGTCTACTAGACTGGGAAAATGTACAGATTGATGCCTGCTTAGAATCTCTCTCTTAGGAAAGAATGGCACTATGCACATTAAATATCAGCTCAGTCTCTTTGCCAGCGGAGTTGGAAGTAGCCATATCCCACTCCGAGACGGCAGCTGGCCACTTGACTTTCAGTGCTTGTCATTTTCTACAGGCCTAGAATAATCCATTCTCCCAATAATCAGGCTCCAGAGAGGGTTCTTTATGCCCCTTCTTAGTCTCTCATTCTTGGTGTTTGACCCATAATTTTTCTTTTCCTGGTTATTATTTAATACACCCACATTTTACAAATATTGACCTATTCTGATTTCACTGAGGTGACCATAACTGAACTGACTCAAAGCCCTGATCAAAACTTTGAACAATAGTAGCTGGACCCTATCTAGTTCTGCTGGTCTTATGGTAGGAGCAATATTATTAGGACTGTTCAAAGAAAGGAGAGCAGGTTCTAGATGGTCCCATCTGAGGAATGGAATCCCAGAGACTGGTTTTTCCTCACATGAAATCTTTGTTCAGTTCTGTATGCTTGGCTTGGTTCAGAGGGGGAGGGCGTTTGTGGACTGGTGTACAAGCCGTTAGCACCAGTGTGTGGATTGATCTCTGACATGCACTGATGGAGCCCTCCACTCATCCCTCCTAAATGGGCCCTGGGAAATTGTCTGAAGCCCAGGGAGAGTTCTAGTTGCTTTCAGCACCATGGAATGTGGCCAAATGGATTAGGTTCGGGTAAGTAATGAAGGAGCCAAGTAAGCACATGTGTGTCATGTTGACAGCTTGCTTGTGACAGCTGCCTTTCTTGGGGGGCAGGGCCTGGCTCTGACATTGGCCAGGGGCATTCTAGGAATAAGTCTTGTGACATAGCTGAGCCTTGGCTCGCTCTTTACAGAGCACTGGAGTTGCTGCAGACAGTAGGCCCTAAATGTAGTTAGGGGCTCGTGCTTTTAAAAGTACGGTCATTTCTCAGGTTATGAATGTTGAACTTACAGATAGTAAAGGTCCTTTCCCTTTAGTGTTTTGTAAATGTGCTTTCACTTTAGCACTGAGCCCTGTATATTGTAAACTAACAGCTCTCCCTTCTCAGCTCCTTATTTCTGTGGCGATATTAGATTGGATGCCACCAGAACACAGCAGGTTATTCTTAGTTGCTCTCAAATTAACCCCATGTGTGTCAAAATAGAACTGTGTTCTATAGAATTTTAATTGTTTTATTTTTCCTGTATAGTCTTTACAGAACCTCTAGGTGGGTTTGAACTACTAACTTCTCAGTTAGTTGTCAGGCACTCAACCATTTGTGCCACCCAGGGATTCCTTGAACATAGTATAAATGATAGTTATAAAAGTTCAAATCTATAATCAAAACCCACCACTCGTCTGTCAGCTTGCCGTACTGTGGTGGCTTGTGTGTTGCTATGATGCTGGAAGCTATACCACCAGTATTTCAAATACTAATGGGTTTACCCATGGTGGACAGGTTTCAGTGGAGCTTCCAGATTAAGACAGACTAGGAAGCAGGATTGGCCATCCACTTCTGAAATATTGAGCCGATGAAAATTCAGTGAATAGCAGTGGAACATTGTCTGACTTAGTGCCAAAAGATAAAGCCCTCAAATCAGAAGGCCCTCGTAATAGAACTGGGGAAGAGCTATGATATTTTTCCATTGCTTTAAAGGCATATGAAAGCTGGATAGTGAATAATGGAGACCAAAAGATTGATGCCTTTGAATTGTGGTGTTGATGAAGAATATTAAGTCATATGCATATATGTCATAATCATACATGCATGCCATAGTACATGCATATGGCGCTCTGGTGACAGAATGGTAAGAAGCGGTGCTGCAATACCAAAGGCACATGGTTCAAATCCACCTGCTGCTCCATAGGAGAAGGATGGGCAATTTCCTCCTGTGTCATTAAAAGCCTCTGAAAACCCACTGGAGGGTCAGCTTTGGGTTGGTTCTGACTCGACGGTACACAACAACATGGATTGCAATATTATTAATATCACATGCAAGCGAAATACTGTTGAAGATAATTAAAATAAAAAAAAACAACAACTAGAACAGTATGTAGATAGGGAACTACCAGACGTTCAAGCAGGATTTAGAAGAGGCCATGGCACCAAGGATATCACTACTGATATCAGATGGATCCTGACTGAGAGTAAAGAATACCACCAGAAGGATGTATGTTTATGCTTTATTGACTATGCAAAGGCATTTGACTGTGGATCATAATAAGTTATGACTAACACTGAGAAGAATGGGAATCCCAGAGCACTTAATTGTGTTCATGGGAAACCTAGATCAGGAGGCTGTTGTGCAAACAGAGCAAGGAAACACTACATGGTTTAAAATTAGAAAGGGAATGTGTTAGGGTTGTATTCTCTCTTCATGCTTATTTAATCTGTATGCTGAGCAAATTATTTGAGAAGCTGGACTCTATGAAGAGGAATATAGCATAAGAATAAGAAGGAGACTCATCAAAAACCTGCATTATGCAGATGATACAGCCTTGCTTGCTGAAAGTGAGGAGGACTTGAAGCATTTGTTGCAGAGGATCAAAGAAGACAGCCTTCAATATGGATTGCACTTAAGTGTCAAGAAAACAAAGATTCTTACTACTGGACTGATAGACAACATTAGGATAGATGGAGAAAAGGTCAAAACTGTCAATAAATTCATCTTGCTTCTCTCCACAATTAACATCCTTGGTACCAGCAGTCAGGAGATCAGGAGACGTTGCACTGGGAAAGTCTGCAGTTAGGTACCTCTCCTAATTATTGAGAAGTAATGATGTCAGTTTGAGGACTAAGGGTCATTTGATTCAGGCTGTGGTCTTTTAGTCACTCACTATGCATCTGAGAGGTGACCAGTGAGTAAGGATGACAGAAGAATTGATGCCTTTAAGCTGTGGTGTTGGAGAAGAGCACCGAACATCCCGTGAACTGCCAAAAGAACAAATAGATATGTCTTGAAGAAGATACATCCAGAGAGCTATTTTGAGGCAGTGTTGATGAGGCTTTGCCTCATGTTGCTATGAAGGGGCTATTAGAGAGGGCCATGGTACTTGGAAAGGTAGAGGGTCAGTGAAGGAGAGGAAGGCCCTCAACCAGGTGGATTGACACAGTGACTGCCACAATGGGCTCTAATGTGTCAGGAAGTGTGAGGATAGGACAGGGTTCAGATTTCTTGTTCATAGGGTCGCTGTGGGTCTTACTTGACAGCAGCTAATAACAACAACGTGGATTGCCAAAAGAACAAACAAATTTATCTTGGAGCAAGTAGAGCCTGACTGTTCCCTAGAAGCGAGGGTGGTGGGACTTCATCTGATGTACTTTGGGCATGTTATCAGGAAGGACCCGTTTCTGGAGAAAGACATCATGCTTAGTAGAGAAAGAGAAGACCTTCAGATAGGGATTGGCACAGTGACTACAACAGTGGACTTCCAGCAGAGCCGAAATTGTGAAGGTGGCACGGGGTCGGCAGCATTTTATTTCAGCTGTGGGATGCTTCACTGTAAGTAGGACCCCACTTGATGACACATAATCATAGCAGCATAATGTATAAATACAATGTTGTATATAAAAAATATATATACCTCACGTAAATAAGGAACTACTGAAAACCCTACTTTATCACTTTAACCTCAGAACATACAGAAGTCACTCACCCAAAGTACAGTACTTACCTATTTCAGAATGGATTTGAATGAATTTGAATTCTGCTCCTCATTTCTCTCCCATTCATCCTGTGACCAGGTATCATAGCCCCAGTCAAAACAGTCAGTGGTTTTAGCTGGGCACCGTCTAGTTCTTCTGGTATCAGAGTACATGATCTGTGGCTCTTGTAGACTTGTTCCTTCTCTGTGCTTTTGTTACCTTCTTACTGTTTTGTTCCTGGTGACTAGCGAGCTGTAGCTTACATGGCTGCTTGCAAGCTTTTAGAACTCCATATGCTTCTCAGTTCACTAGGATGCTGATCCTGATTTTTGGGAACTGTCTTATGCGAATTGATTGAGTTTTCCCATAAGTCTGTGGTCCCTAAGCTTTCAAACCTAGAAAACCATTAATAGGAGGTGTTTGGATATGTCTGAGGATTGCCTGTATTTGTGTCTTTAATACGTGGTTTCCTAGACCTATTTACAAGCATTTGTAAGTACAGGATGACAGTGGGGTGTTTTGTGTTTGTTTACTTTTATAGATATTTCTGTCTCTTCCCATATATGTCCGCCCATGACTGTGCTCAGATTTTCCAGTTTGCTTGTCCTCATCCAGAAGCGTCACTTGTTTTAACTTTGCTTGTGTGGTACTCACTACATCCACAATTGGTACCACTTTTCCCATCCCCAGAAATAGCAAGTCTGTGCTATAAGCCTACTTCCCTT